AATTTGCGAAAGTTGTAGGCTTGAAATTCGTATTTGAGTACGGAAGCCCACACCTTTCCAAGATGGGTACAAATTTCATGACATATTTCTGCATTCTCTTATTAATGAGGAAAGCGATCCTCGACCAACTATTGGAGGTGGTGCCCGAGCAAAACATTTTATAATCATTAAAATTAGCCGTAATATCTCCAGGGTAGTGGGTTTCCTGAATGCCCAAAATGTCAATTTTTTCCGCATCTAACAACCTTAAAAGAACTGCCAGTTTATTCATAAATCCATTAATGTTAAGAGATGCTATTTGTAGCTTACCTGTAAATTTATTCTAAACAAAGTATTTAAGCGTAAGAAACAAGGCCGTTAAGGAATTAACTATAAAGAATTTAGGAGAGTGATATTATAAGGAGAAAGAACAGACCATAGGGAAAGAAGGCTCACCAAGACAATGATAGATAACTAGTAAGGTGTGATACATCATCCATGAAATTTTAATTTATCATTTACTATTTATCCTAGTAAGATATAAGTATAAAACAAAGGTTATACCAGCGACATTAAATAAGATATGAAAAATCTTACCAGTGAAATTAAATAAGACATTTGATAGCAAGAGTCAAGTATAAAAGAAGGTCAAACCAGCTAGCAAGAGTCGAGTATAAAAAGAAGGTAAAACCAGCTAACCAAGATAAGAACAATGGTAGCAAAAAGTCTTACCTAAATAGGACACATGATAACGAAGAGTCACACTTTACAATTTATTCTGAAGAATTTTAAGTCCCGTAAAATTTAATAACATTAACAAAGAGGAACGTAAAATTGATTGAAATTTACAAAGAATAAAAAAATTACGTAACAATAAAGCTCCAGGGCTCGACAACATTACTGCTGAGTATCTAAAGATAGCACCTAGAACGACATCTTCCTTCCTTCTGGCCCTCTTCAATAAAATATGGGAAAGTGGAAGTATCCCAACAGAATGGAACAAGTCCTTTTTATGTAATTTCCCCAAAACTGCAAATCCCCAAAAATTTACTGATTATCGTGCGTGCGCTCTAACATCTAGCGTGTCCAAAATATTTATGGTACTTATAAAAAATAAAATTGCTCAATCGACGCCTAAACTTTTTCCTAAACATATTTGTGCTTATAGGCCAAATAAAAATATATTGGAACCTATATTATCTCTGAAAATAATAATGCAGAAGTGTCATAAATACAAGATACCCTTATTCTACACATTCATTGATTTTAGTAGAGCATTTGACAACGTTAACCATGTAGCTCTTTGGGAAACGCTAGCAGAATGCGGTATTGTAACCCAAATAATTCGAATCTTAAAAAATCACTATTCAAATTTATTTGCTTGTTTCAAAATAAATGATAAAATCTCTCCCTTCTTCAGGATAAAAAAAAGGTGTAAAACAAGGCTGCACCCTCTCACCTCTCCTTTTCAACATAATAATCAATAAATAAAAGATGTACTCGGAGCTGCTGATCTAGTTGATATAGGATCAAATGAGAAGATTTTTTTTGTAAATAGGACAATATCCTATGCGGATGATATTGTAGTAATCTCGAAAAGTATTGAAGAAACCAAGAATCTACGTTATCTAATTGAGACTGTGAGCTATAGAGTGGGACTTAGGATCAACTTTAACAAAACTGTTATTCTTCCCTCCCCAAACGCGCCTTCAATTCAAAATTTTACAGTTGGAGAGAATACAGTAAAAATCGTAGAGAAAATAAAATACTTAGGTGTAATCTTAGATAATAAAGGAAGTTGTAAAGATGAGATGAAGATGAGAATACAAAAAGCTAGAGGTGCGTTCTATAGATATAGGAAAATATGAAAAGCTAGAGAAATCCCAGTATTTACTAGATTGAGGATATTCAACTCGTTGATAGTTCCAATTGTATTATATGGTGGGGATATCTGGGAGGCAAAGAGATAAGGCGTCTTCAATCTTTTATAAATAATTGTCTTCGCACTATACACGGTATTTTCTATCCAAGAGTTATCTCAAACTCAAATCTTTGGAGGAAGTCAACTCACACACCAATAAATATTACTCTTAAAAACGCCGGATTCAGTTCTTAGGCCACATAATAAGAAATTCAGATAATAACTTAGTCCATGATGCCATAACATGGCTGTACTCATACAATGGAACAATACACAAAATACAAAACATTATGGTATTATAAAACAATAAAAGATATAATAGACTTAAACGTGAACATTAAACAATTCCTTAAACAAAATAACAATAAAAGATCTATTAAAAAGCTGTTTCGCATCAAGAAAAGTTACTTCTAATAAGAATAAAAATACAACTCAGAATTCAATGTTCACTATCATTATCTAATAATCCCTATCTTATATTTCCTATCGTAATAAATTTCAAAAATTTAAACTCATTATTATTAAATATTTCCAATATCAACAAACATTCAAATCTGCTTATAAGTATTCTTTTGCATTTCCTTACTAAAAATTGTTATAATATAGTAAAGATTTTTAATTTAAAATTGTCCTCAACCCACGAAAATGTAATTAACTTTCACTGAAGTTCTAGGGTATAGGCTCTTTTTCTGTCCCACTCCCTTTTAAATAAGCCTATAGAGGTTTAAGTAATGTTTTTCGAAATGTTGCGCCTACAAGTACGTGCGGCTTGCCCACAAACGTGTGGAGGGCTCCTCATATTTTGACTTTTATACCCAAATTAAATTAATTCCACTAAGATGGAAATGAGGAAAACCTAGCGTAGCTCTGTTGCATTTCAACACTAGATAGCATAAGCGCTATATATCACGTATCACGTAATATGATTATTTATTCAAAAGAAAATATTCTAGAGCATTTACCTTCCCATCAGGCGTTTTATTTAATTTAAAAAAAAATAATATTCCCAAAACACAAATCTGCTTCAGATCACCTGTGGACTAACTTCAAAAATATGATGATAAAATTTAATTGATACTGGAGAATATAGTCAACCTAAAATTTCAACAAAGTAACTAGTTATAAACCACCCTTCCAACAAATTATGGCGGACTTAGCTTATGGTAACCATTAAAAAAACAAAAATCTTATTCTCAAATTAGTTAAACCTTTTAAGAAAATCATGTTAAACAATGCTTTGTTAAGCTGGTCCGCTGAAACATCTTTTGGCGCAATTTATCCATTCTCTAATTTACAACACATAAGGATTGGAATGTTGCAATCGTGTCACGTTGCTCTGATTAACTACTTTCGAGTAATGACACACAGCAATGTACTAATCTTCGTTCATTGGTAATGGATACATCAGGCCACGTATGGTTAGAAGCTAATTCATGTATGTTAAATAAATCTTTTGAGAAATAAGGAATTTAGATATGCTTTGGGTGGGCTTAAACATATTTCTACCATACAACTAAAAAGATGTTGGTAATGGTTGATTTTAAAGAGAAACATTCACTCCATTGGCTCATGAACAGATACAAATATGTAAGGCATGAAAGAATTTATAAAATAATAAAAGATTCATTATTCAAAGCCGTTGTTCCTTAACATCTAGAACCAAGAGATACTTACTTTATTAATAACACATAGCCTGATGTACATACCCCCCCCCCCCCTCACAGGAATATAGGAAAAACATGTATTGGGACTCTACACAAATATAAATTTCACCCAATTAAATAATAATTAAGATGTATTAGGTATAGAGGAAATCCCAAAAATATGGAAATCTAGTCAACACCAATATATTTATCCCATTGTGGTATAAACAAATTGATCATTGGAAAGAGGCTAAATAAAGAGCCATAAAACAAAATCTCAAGGGCCCTTTTGATCAAACAAAAAATGAGCTTTGAAATTTTATGATCAATTTTAAATTATTTAAAGAGTCATGGCCATCACCAGAGGAGAATGACTATTTTTTAATCCCTTTTAAAAAATATTTTTATGTATTTTAAAATTTATTTCTAAATATGTTATCTTATACATAGTTTACATGTTAATTCTAATTACTTTATATAATATCGATTATTAATAAAACAAAAAAATACAGGGTGATGAAGATGATTCAATTCATTTTAACTGATATAATAAATATTTTTTGCTGTAAAAGTGGTATCTTTGATATTAGTTATGTAAAACAATTTTTCCCACCTTGCCTTTAAGGGGTGTGAAATGTTTAATGCTTTCAAATTAAACTTCTTTTAAAATAAATTAGTCCCTTTGGGGCAATATTTATAAAAGAACCAAAATCGATTTGATTTAGAAAAAATAGCTATAAATATGATATAATAACATATGATTAAAAATTAAAATATCAGAGAAAATGATAATAACAGTTAATCAAGACAGTTAAAGAAAATAAAGCATTATTTATGGAATAAATCAATCAAAATCTCACAGAATTTAATCAAATGCATTCATTAATGACCATATTTTTTATATTTACTGTATTATAAATTTTACATGAAATAAAGTTAATATTGTCATATAAACAAATATACATATGAATTTAACCAAACACCCAAATCTGGTTTATTATTTGTAGTTAAATTTTATTTATAATTAGTTTGGAGTTTGAGACTGGAAATACCGAATCCGGGTCAACCAGAACTGACATTTATAACCAAAATCAAAACCACAGTCCTTTTTAACTAAGGTTCTTATTGGTTTTAAGATTTTCTTGCCAGATAAAAACTTATCAAATTCCTCATTAATAGAAATAAATTTAAAAAAAATATTTTCCCAAGTTTCATTTTTTTCTTCATCAATTGATAATTTTTCTCTATCAATCAAAAATGATTATTACAAAATAAAAAATGTCAACAATCCTTACATATATAGTATTTCTGAGTTTACTGGTTTAAAAAGAAGTCATAAATCATTTTTAAATTATGTGAGGGCCTATAAAACAAATAAACCTATTAGCATAAACAGAGTTGCAAAAATGCTGATAATCCATCAATTCATAAATATATACAGGTAAGAGTAAATGCACCTGCAAAGGTATCTAAATCTTCAAGTAGGCGGCCAAATCGTATTTTCTTGTCAGACAAGATGTAGTAATCTCGGAGTGACACATCTTCAGCTAAGGGTAAAATTGCAGTACTGTAAGAATCCATCATAGTCCTCACAGGCAATTCTTTCTGAGATTTTGGGTTTAGGTGTTGAATATTTTTGGTGTAAGTTTTGGGAGGTTCCAAACTGTTTTTACATTAATTTTTTGCTATATTATTATTTCAATTATATGTTAAACATTGATGTTTGCACTAATGAATATCTATGTTTATAATCTCACATAAAATAAATCATTGGCTTATTTCATAAATCTATGAAATTATTGATAATTGTGAAATAAATCTATAATAAATATTTTAAATATAATCTCAAATTTTAAAACATTTCATAAAAATTTATTATTTAATATAATTCTGTCTAAACTTTTATTTATAAATTTACCTCCATGACATTTGAGGCATTACCCAATCAATTATTTTTTCTCTTACTTTAAAAAGAAATTTTATTTAAAATAATTATTTATACTTTCTTTGATTGTGTAAACTCTATTAGAAAAAATTTCATTATTAGAACTCTTGGCTATCTGTCTTTAATATAAAATTTAGGGAAAATTTCATGTATTAAAATTAACCTAAATTTAATCAAATACATTGATTTTTGTTTAAAAAAATAACTCATTTTTTGAATATTTATGTATGAATGGTTAATTATACCCAGATAATTTATAAATATTTATTTAAAATCTAGAATTTAAAATATAATCAACGTTAGCCATATATATATACGCCCATGGCTAAGGACCTATACGCCCTCTCCGTACCAAATCAAAATTAGCAAAAGTGGAAATCAAAATGAAAACCACCCCTATTATCCCTAGGGTTGTTAAATGGTCAAGTTAGAAAAAATATATTATACTAGTCATGGTGAACAATTGAATATATATGATTTTATTAAGTGTTTATTGCAAAACAAAAAAATATATTACTAATATGTAACATGCATCACTTCCAAAAAAAATAATAAAAAAAATCAAGTATTGAAAATACAATTGGTAATACGAAATAATTTTGAGAGAATAACAAAAAAAAAATTTGGGAAGTAGTGATAAAAACACTCGCTTGACAATAAATTTAGAAGAATATAATAAATTTCAGAAAATTAAACAAGTATTTTGTACATATATTTGTCCAATTTTATAAATATTTCTAATTAATTATCTTTATAAAAAAGAAATAATTGTTTTCTTAAAAAAAATCATGGTCAAAGGAGTTGGCATTAGTTACAACAGGAGTTGGCTCTTTGTTAAACAACGTTATCTTTTGAGATTTGACATTCATTTTTATTTATCATATTTTTATGTGGTGATCATATTTTTTATTAGGACAATTTAATTTATATATAGGCAATTATTTAAAATATAAAATAGATAAATGAGAAAAAGAAATTTTAATTCCTAATATTATTATCTGGATGAATAGCAGAAAAATAAACATTTATAATTTTATTTATTGTAACAAATATTTGAGAAGGGTTAAAAGAAAAAACTTAAATAAAATATTTTTAAAAAAAACACAAAATAAATAATCATCCCCTAAGCTCCCCATATATAAAAGCAAAAATATTTTTTCTTAATCTATAATTTTAAAAATGTTAATTATTATTAGATATAGATATATATGTGGCGCCATACATATAAAACAAAAAACACAAATAAATTAAATTCACAAGTATTTTTGTTTATTTTTATATTTAAAATTTTTTTAAAAAAATTAAATATCTGCAAAATAATATAAAAATTACACAACATTTATTTTGATCTGGGTCGGGCTTAATATTTTTTAAAAATTTTGGGCCGGATATGATATTATATTTTGTCAATAAATTGATATATTTAAAAATCTTGCAAGTACAAGCCATGATATTTTTTAAGAAAACAATTATTTATGTTTATATAGATGAATTAATTAGAAATATTTACGAAAATTGGGCAGATCTATATACAAAATACTAGTTTGATTTTTAAAAATTTTATTTGATTCTTCTAAACTTAAAATTAATTGTCATGCAATATACACTTAAAAATATATATTCAATTGTTCACCATGGCTAGTATAGTATATCTAGTCTTAAAAAATGGGGATATCTAATCTAACATGGCTCGCTATTTTTGTATCAATATGCCGATGTTTAAAAGAGACTGGGAATAGTTATATCCCGCAGCATTTTTCTTAAATATTAATTAACTACAAAGATATGTAATTGAAAAATTAGCTTAATCTATTCTTTATAACACTCAAATTTTTTATAAATAATAACTCCGGTCTCCCCTAATAGATTTTTATATTGGGTCAATCTAGGTTTTATATAATTGGATTCCTCCCTGTTTACAGTTATTCCACACCTATTCCACATAAATAAGATAAGAAATTTTATATAAAAAAAAGGAATCTAATACATTCTTGTTTTAATATAATTACTATATGAATATTGAACTACTTGTCCTCTTATTAGTAGTAACAAATTTTGCATGTAGTATGTAATATACACTTCATAGAAACAATTTTTTTCTGTAATATAACAATCAATGCCTTCTGCGTCAAAACTAACACTTTTCCTGTTCCATAGGCGTCCAGTTTCATAATCTAATTATCGTGTCCCAAAAATGAATTGATCCATTAATGTTTACTACAAATATGTCGATGGACTTACTCTACCTTTTGGCATCCCACGTTCATTCCGCAATCAGTTAATTCATTATACATGGGCTGTCAACCTTTACAATTAATTTTTTATACCAGAGTTGTTAAAAGATATTTTTCAAATATTAAATACAAATAAATCATCTAAATTTTTCTTTGCTAAATATTCGATATAGTTGCAATTTCTCCCAAGTTACATTTTTATTACAATTATGTAAGGTGTGCAATAAGGAATATAGGATTCTATTAATATTATAACTTTGAAGTGAGCTAAAAAAATTATTGAGTTGATATCTAATTTAAATACAAATATATAATTAAATTATTATAAATAATAATTGTTAGATTTTATTTATAAAACATTCTCAAAATTTTCATCATTAAGGCATCCCCGGCATTTTTAGCCACAATTAAAAGTCTTTTTTAATGGGACACTTGGTAGCATTCTAAAATTCTGACACTCAACTTTTAAAAAGAATCATTCAAAATTTTTATCATTATTCATCACCCTTAAGTAGTATTGAAAAGTTTTTAGGTTATCTGTTTAAAATTAGTTGGAAACTTTAATAGTTCATCATTTAAAATTTACATTAAATTTGTTTGGTTTGTTTTACAATGAAATAAACTCGGAAATAATATTTCATGAATTGAATTCAAATATTATTTTTTTTAATATAAAAAAACATAAAATAAAATCTATAAAAGTGTATCTAGATATAGAAAACATATCATTGTATCTAGATACTTACTATCAACGTTACCTATTATTAATTAATCACAACATTGATCACTAACACTATTTTCGGAATTTTTTTTTATTTATTTTAAATTTCATTTATTCAAAATTCGAACTATTTTTTTCATAAATAATATATTTATTATATAATACAACAAAATGATTTTCATAATAATCTAAATATGTATCGTATCACAGGTAATTTATATTATAATTATATATTTAAAAAATAATTCTTTCTTTTAATCGACAAAACGACGTGTGTCCCCTGAAAGAGATCAGGAAAATGTATTGTGTTTCTATAAAAAAAAATAGCATCTTTTCTTTTACATTATAATATGAATGATATTATGAAATAGGCTAATATCTTTGAGATAAAATAAAAAGGTACAGTTACGCCAAAATCGAACTCATTATAGAGCCCTAATTATCAAATATATTGATCTTAAAAAACAATCACAATTTTGATTTACAATTTATGGGTTCCTTTTTGTTTGTTTTCAAATAACATGTTAAATTCATTGGGAGCAAACACTTATAACCTCGTAAATCTTTTTTAAAGAAAAAAAAATGAAAATCCATAATATACAGCAAGCATAAGCGTCAATAGGATATTACATTTTTACGAGAGCGCAAGTTTATAAACAATTCATTTTAATTAAAATTTTTTTAAAAAATATGAAGGTAATTATGAATATTTATTTTGCATAGATTTAGTATAAATAAACAGAGGGGCTTAAAAAAATGAGGGGTATCTTAAAACAGGAATGTTTTGTGTGAAAGAATTGTTTTGAGAAATGATTTGGTCTCTAAACCATATATTATCCAAAAAAACTCGATTTTGTGAAAGATTAATGAGATCATGCGCTATTTTTTAAATTTTAATCTTTGCCCACACGCATTTTAAATAAAAAATGAGAACTATAAAAGAGGGAGACATAAAATTCTTATGTGAATAATTATTGCCATTTTTTTTTATAAAAAATATTTATGAGTAGTAATTATGATTACGAGTATTAAAATGCATAATTTAAAAACAAAGCTTCCTAAGAGATATTGAATTCATGCTAATTTATTATCAAAAGGTTGGTTTGGCGTTAACCGAAATTCCATAACGACAAGCTTTATACATGATTTCAGAGAGGTCTAAAAGTACATTTAACCCAAGAGGAACTTTTTTTATTTTGCATAGGTCGTTAATATTTGATTCGCTAAGGTTAACTCTCACTTTTTGGAAGGGATATGTAACAATATAATGAAATTATAATGTGTATAATAGTATTATGTATTTCAAAGTAGCTTTAAATGTTATTTTAAACAAGGCTTTGGTCAATTAGGTAATGAAGTCTGTTTTGATTATTTTCCATTGACCCTATATGTTACATTCTCTCTAAGTCACGATTATACCATAAACACTTCGATAATAAGCGTTTAATTTTATTCATTTTTTTATTTTCCTATCCACAAAGGCTCGATGATGCACCCGAATCTTATTAAAATTCTCATTTCATTTGAGGATGTTCTTTTTTTAAAAAAAAAAGATTTGATTTTATCGAATCTCTATTAAATAGGTAGATATGGTACACACACGTTTAGTGAGAGTGGATAGTATAAGTATAAAAGTACTCCCCGGGAAAAAATAATTAATTTGTTTGAATAGTTTGAAGATTAAGAGGTCCACCACCACCGGTCTGGGTCCCGTTAGGAGCTTCCTCTTGACTCCTGCATTCGGTTTTGAGCCTAACAAACTCTTTAGCGATTTCATCGAGATGAGTCCTTTGGGCTAAAATTCTGAGAATGGTCCAACCGGTTTCATTCATCTTGATACGTTGACCAAGGGGAAACCAGCAAGCGCAACTTCCGCATTCCACCACATCCCTTAGCTGCATAACGCTCATGCCTGAAATTGAAGAAAGGGGAGGGAGTATTTTGGAGTAAGATGATTATATATATAAATATGTTAACGTCAATGTGTTTTTTCCGGCAATGTCTTATTTTTTCAACTTTGAATCATTTTTTGAACGCATTTTTTTAAATTAAAAAAATCTGATTTTACCGATGTATTCCAGTATCCTATCTTATGAATTGTAGATAATTTGTTAATCTTTGAATCATTTATAATTTATATAAAAAACCTTGGAAAGAGTAATATATGGCAAAATTATATCAAATTCATAGAGTAGGTATTCCAAACATGATGGAATCATTTATGGTAAAATCAAATTCGTAAATTTTTAAAAAGGAGGTCTTACGTTGTTTGCCACATCATTTCTCTTCAAAATTAATCATCAATTAAATAAAGGAAGGAAGACAAAAAAAGTATTTTAAAAACAAAAGTTAGTGACTTAACTGCAAAGGTCACAATTTAATTCAGGTTCGGCTCAGAATTTTTGCCTCTGATAAATTTTCGGTCCGGGCCAGCAATTTTTAAGATTTCATTATTTTTAATAACTTTAGCAGTATTTTGAAAATTGTACCTAAAGGAAATTGAAAAAATAAAAGCATATAATGAAATTTAAACGTTCTATATGATTTTCCAAATGATTAATTGATATAACTTAAATATTTTTTTAAAAAAAATAGAACCGACCGGATTTTAAAAATTTTATTATTTATCGACCAGTTTTGGGCTAGGGCCTGTAAGTCATTATATTCATTTGATAACTTGAAATTAGCGATTCAAAATTATAATACTAGTATTATTATCATGCACTTTAAATTTAAAAGGTTCACGATTAAAATAAATGGTGACAAACTACTCAAATATTTTGTAAAATAAGCGGAGTTACCGATGAGACGATTTTCTCTCGCAAAAAAGTAGTCCTTGACACAAAATTGCAATTCGAAAGCAGAGGGGTCATCTTCGTTGCCCAATATACTTTTGCCATTAAGATAAATATAATTATACAAGGTCATTAATTATATGTCGGCATTTTTATATTGACGTATGAAAGAAAAGAAATAAAGAAAGTGAATTATTTTCTTTACACTAGGGATGCCTGCTGATTTTTTTTTAACAATAATTGATCTGATCATTCATTTTTATTAAAAATATCGTTCCACATTAAAAAATAATCTAAATTCATAAAATCGCTTTCATTTACAAATGGAAAATCTCGTTATATTTAGGAGACCATGTGTTGTTTTTTGACTTAGTGTTTTGTCTGCGTTTCTTGTCGTTCAAGTGGGGTCCTATCAAGTTCACTTCGACAAAAGGCCGGAACATGCCGTTCGTTTGCCATTTTAGATCATTACACGCTACAATTTTAACAGTGACCTTAAATGATTTGGTTAAAATTTTTATTTAAAAATGTGGTTATAATATTAAAACGTTGTGGTATGTTATAATAAATATCTTAAACCTTTAAGAGTTAATTATCAAGGGAATAAAACATAATATGTCCTCGTTCCAATTCATCAATTTTCTGATAAAACTGGGATTAATATATATATAATATTCTTTTTTTTCCTAAATAAATATTTGATATTATATTATAAAACTAATTTATTTATTGATTGCAAGTCGAATATTAGTAAATTTTAGAAGTTGTTAAGAATCGCTAAATTTACCTTATGTTCTCCTGTGCCAGGATGGGTGAACAGATCCACTTGAACAGATATTTCTCCAACAGAGAAATCGGCTCCCGGTTGATCTTTAATATCGACAGAGAAAAAAAATTTGTCTTTAAAACAACTTAAACGGAAACGAATTAAAAAATGGCATGCCATTTTTTTAAAATAAAGATGAATTGAGTATTAGGAATGGAAGACATCTTTTTTAAAAAAAAGATTTCTTCAAACCAAAGTATTTTCTTTTCAAATTTCAAAGAAATTTGATAATACGTGTTTCTTAAAAAAAGAAAAATTAAACAACTTTATCTCTGTTAATTTTAAAATGCTCTACTACTTAAAATAAGTTATAGAGGTAAGATGGAGAATTAAGATATAAATCTCCAAGATACCTTGTTGATTTTGGGTGTTAACGAACGTTTTGATCAGCGTATCCGTGGTTTGGGTGTAAAGCGAAAGCGCGTAACGTAAGTTGATAAGGTCTTGACTCTTCTCCAAAAAACCTTTTGTTTTAAAAAAATAAATAGATATATGTTGAATTCCCGTTTGGCTCAGCTTCCTCAGATTTTGTTAATTGATAGTATACTAGATAAGAAAAAGTATAAAATTTTAGATTTCAGCCTTACACAAGGGAGCATGTTAGAGGCACTCAAAGTGCAAATATAAAATTATTGAAATGGAAATATCTCTAAAATTTGTCTAGCTAATATTCATTCTAATATATTCTAGTAGTTTTTAATTATTATATAAAAATTTAACGAATGCAAGAAACATATATTAAGGGAAAATAATCGGTAGAATTTTTTCACTTTGATTTTTCTTTGTATACCTAGATCTAAGATCGAGGTACGTGTATAAAAATATTAGGATGGAAATTTTACAAGCTAAGGAGTTATGATCATCGGACATAAATAACCAAATATTACTCTTAATACAACATTTTATCCAAAATAACTATTAAATTACTAAAGTTAAAACCAGGGGTTCAAACCGAACCCGGAGAAGAAAACCCGGGTTTTTGGGAAAAAAATTTGAACCCGAACCGAACCTGAACCCTGTTCTTAAAATTTTCAAAACCCCGAACCAGTGTATTGTTTAAATTTATATAAGATAGTTGTATAATTGTAAATACAAATATTAATAATTTACCTGATATTTTATAATATTTTCAAATTTCCAATTAAGTGAAGTGTTAATAAATTTTAAACAACTTAATTCATTTACACCATTTTTAAATTTTTTTAAAATTTATTTTCAAGATTCCTATTCGATTGTTAATAAATTTTAAAACAATTAAATTCATTCACGCCATATATTTTTAATTTTTAACTTATTCTCAAAGATTAATACCAAATTCATGTCTAATTTTTTAATTATGATTTAAATATAAAATTTTTTTTTTTATCAATTCAAAAATTCTTAAACCCGAACTGAACCCGGAACCAAACCCGGGTTCAAAAATATTTCGCTGAACCGAACCCCAACACACCTATGGCAAAATTTTTACCGGGTTAGCATCCCTGGTTAAAACCATCAAATTTTAAACGATGATTTATCACTAAAAGGCACTGATATCCTTTTATAAGCCTTTTGGTTTTATACATTCGATATTATCCTTTAATATATTATTTTCATTAGTTAAATTTTACAAAATTTTAAAGTGAGATTATTAAGGTACTTAGAATATATTTGAATGAAATGTTTATTGCTCAATAACTTCCAGAAATATGTATATTTCAAAATTCAACCATATGATAAAATTATGCATTTTGAGGGCCAATATCTTGGCTTTATAGTGAGTTTGATATCCAAACTTTATATTTTTCATTAGTTACTAATAACTACTCTCTATATGCAAGTAATCTTTTGTTATTGTGGAATGATTAACAATTTAAAAAACTGATGTAAAGAAAAAAAAATTAAATTATCGTTGTACAATTGAATATTTCGTCTAGGGGAATCAATATTTAATTTTAAGTCCTAGTAAATAATTTACAAACAAAAGAAAAATGCTTAGAGTAAAAGGCAACGGCAAAACTTTACAACAATTTTTTATAAAATAATTTTAAAAAAAATCTATAATGACAAATGTTACCTTTTTTGAGGCCGCTACCACCGGCGTGAAAATATTGTTTGATAGAATCGAGTGCAACTTCTAAAACAGCGCATTGCTTGGGACTGAGGTTTTTTTCGGCGGCCTTATTCATGTCCTACGGAGAAGTATTTAAAAAAAATGAATATGCTATTAAATATAAAATTTTAAATATGTTTTTGGTAAATGTGATTGTGATACGAGTAATTAATTTATAAGTTTCATTACAAAAATGGAAAGTTAATTCAATTTTTTTTGTATATAACATAAAAATTCATACAAATAATTTTTTTACATGTTATTTAAAATATAATTTTGTTTGTTAAATAGTTCGATTTAGCCAAAATAATATTACGCAGGTATAGATATTTCGTTAATAAATGTCCAAACCTTTCAGCCATCTATGAGTAAAAATATCCATGCTTGCGTAATTTTTTGGCTACAACCGTTTTTAAAAATCGAGCTACTTATATTTTACACTTTAAATTTTTTTTATTAAACTTAAAAAGATAATTACGAAAACTCCATCATGATGTAATTATATCCTTCTGAATCTAGTTCCAGGTTTAAAACTACCCCATATTTATAAGGGTTTAAAAATTAAAAAATATTATTTATTAAAAGTATTTATAAAAATAACATCAAAAAGTCTAAATTTGCATATTTAATTATAGATTTAATAATTGTGTTCCAAAAAAGGAATCATAATTATATCAGTTTAAAAAAGTTAATATTCGTGTATATCTGAATAAAATTTCAAGCTGAATCAATCATTTTATTTAAACTAATCACAATATTTAAACTAATCACAATATTTAAACTAATCACAATATTTAATATATTGGTTCTTTTTAATTTAAAATTTTGCAGAGCTCTAATTACGGCTTTAATTAAAATTTTACAATCAAGATCGGGCCAAACCGTCCTATAGAATATCTATCTGTCCAAGTCCAACAATTTCAAATTTAATCAGTCCCAGGTCAGACTTTACTCAAGTATTTTTCTTAAACCTATAATTATAAAACTTTAAAAACACTATTCTTCATTAAAATAGTTTATATTAAATTTTTTTTAGAAATTATGGGGATTTATAATGAAATTTTGCAAGTAAAAATATAAAATATCATTAAAAAAATAAAGTAACCATAAGGAAGTTTTTCCCACTGACGCTATAAAGGAGCTCTTTAACGTCATCCATTTTTTCTATGTTTGGCAGCATGGCCTGTAAATATGTTTTAAAGGATTTTAAATTGATCAATGAAATTTTACCCTAATCGTTCGTGAGGAATTAATAAATAAAAGCGTTATAAGGTTATTAGACCAACTTCTCGTACTTATGATTTCAAAAAATATTTAAATTAGTTCTTACGTGTTTGGTGTCCGTGAGGGGTGGAAGTACTACGACTTTTTCTAGCAAAATCATGACTTTCTTCCACAGTTCCTTGAGGAGTCTTTTGAGAACGGTCTTTTCGCAAATCTGCGCAAATACGGATAGACTTGAGTCCAAAAAATCCATTAAAGGCCTGAGAACCATATCAGCTTCCAAGGCAACGTTCGTTCTTTGACTGGGCTGGGACGAGCCTCTGATCTTTTGCAATAGTTGGTAGAGCTCTTCTACGCATACTTCCAGATCAGTATACATACTTTCATATGAATATATTTCGGTAGAGACGATTAGATAATTGATAGTGATATGCATAAAAAAACTTCTATTTCATTATTTTATCATTTGCAAAATTAGTGTTAAATCTAAGTTCTAGAGTGCAGATATCACTCGGGAAAACTCTTCGCATACCTATATATATAGCATGTTTACTGTGTATCATATTAAGCTATTGTATGATAAATTAGAGACGATATAATGGCAAAAAGCTGATATAATAAAGATTAACAAGCAATATAGCAGCAAATTTATAAAAATGAAAAGCTAACTATTTGATCAATTTATTTTAAAATGTTTGCATTTAAATAGCTAATTTTTTAGTTATATTATATAGCTTCAATTCAACATTAAAAATTTTATTTATTTATCTCAATGATTTTATGCTGGAAGAATATCGAAAAATACCGTTCCATCATTCTCATTCAATCATCTATTTCTTCCTTTACTCTAACCTCTTTTGGTACCAAAACCATATGAAATCTATCTGCAAAAAGACCAATCTAATCAAATTACTAAGGCTGACCCTTGCAACCGTTTATTATTCGCTCTATGTATCTTAGATTATCTTTTCCATTAAATAATCTTCTCGTTTACTGACATTATACTTTTCTCACTCCTAACCTTCCCATTTTCAATTTTTAATTGCATTTTTTTGTATGCCAATGATTTTATTTGCAGATGAATAAAGGTATATTAATGATTTAAAATGTAACATTAATAATATTTTAAAATTTTAGAAAATAGATAAATTTATGCACAATATCTCTTATTATACATTATAACGTAAATTGTTGTAAAAGATATAAAATTTGCAAAAAGAAAAAACCTATCGCAAAACATAGCCGCTAATTCGTCTATAACGGAACTGAGTTGCCCCTGCAAATCTTTAAGGATATCCGTGGCATCTAAGTCGAGGTGTTCGCCTCCCATAGCTTCAAACATCTTTTCTAATTGAACCCTGAGTTGTTGAATGTTGTTCATCAGAATGCAAGCCGATTTTTCGCGTTCTTTATGGCAATATTGATGAAAAACTAGGCGGGTTATGTCGGCGTAGGCCAGAAGGACTTTGTTAACGGTCTCAAATTAAAAAAAATATATAGGTTGTGTAATAAAAAAATCTATACGATTTGGTGAATCTTTTAATAATTATTATTTTAAAAAAATCCGAAAATGATTTTTATTTACCACCGCGAAACGCTTCATGTACCGTTCAAGCACTACGGGATCCGGGCATTCTAGTTTTTTAATAACGTCGAAGCATTGGGTTAATTGGCTGAAAACGTCAACCACGCTTGTGCTGAAAAGGGCGTGGGCGGCAGAACGGTTAAAACCATCCTTGGAATCGCGTTCGAAGGCTCCGTGAAGATAAGCTATCGAAACCTTTATATTATTCGAAAGTAAAATTATACTATTATCATCCATGCATCTAATTATTTTTAAAAAAAAACTAGTTCGATTAAATACAAATCGCCATTAGAGTGCGTGATTGCACACCAATTGTAAAGCAAGGATATATACATAGTCTCTTTTGTTGTCTTTTTTTCAAACAGATGTGGTATATTTTAACTTGAAATTTAATAAGAAAGGTAAAATATCTAAAACCAAAAAGAAAATAAACTTACATATTGTTTCAATCTTATTAGTTATTACAAAAAATATGTACTGTAATAAATGCAAATAATAAATTTAAAAAAATGAATGATTTAAAATTTAGAAGGAAAGTTTTAGATCTAAGAAAAAATGAGATGAGTGTTTGACAAGTTAAAATGGCGTAGCCAGGATTTATCTGGGGAGATTCTTATAATTTTATTCATATATGGTATTGATAACATTTTTCTAGCCATTTTAATTTTTACCGACTACTTTTAAAAACCTGACCTGAGGGGGGGGGGGGTTAAAAAAAATTTTCGATCAAAGTTATATGGCTTAAGAAAAAATGATGATATATGATTGGAAATAAATATTTTAATTTAGTATTATATTGAAGAAAAAAAACCTGATCATTTTCGTTAAGCCAATGAATGACAAAGGGCTCGAACCAACGAGGGTATTCAGGAACAGCTGTTATTTGAAACAAAATAAATAATATATACGTGAATCCAGAATCTTGCTTTTGCTCCTTTAAAAATTCCGGAAAAAGAATTATAATTATTTTTTTTGGATTAATTTTTGAAATATAATTGATATTCGTCATATTTTAAAAAAATCCTATCAATGGTAACTCCAAAAATGATATAAACACCATAAAGTGTCCAGGGTGATTCTGGGTAATAAGTCTTTTATACGTTTGCAAATTGGTATAAAGATAATCCTTCTAAAAAATGACAATTTACCAAATATCTTAATTCGGTTTTTGATTACGCCAAAGACTAAAGTAATTAAATCGTATAAGCTTCTTGAGATCACAGGTACATCATCTATATTTAAGATAAAAAAAAATACTATGAAGAGTACCACATGATTTACTTCCCTTAGTCATTGGCGCTCGATTAACCCTTCTTAAATCGAAATAAGGCATTGTGCAAATTTCACGCGGAGCGTTATCGAAAGAACTTTGCAAAATAAAAAAGACTCACTCATAATCAGATTTCTTAGCACCAAACCAGTATTAAAGGAGGCTAGGAATGTAAACCATCTAATAATTTAATATAGATTCAATTATATTTGCTAAAAATGTTTGAGCTGCTTGGAGAGCACACCCTCTCCCTTAGTATTCTAGGTAAGGTGGGTGGGAAATTCTGGGCTAAGATGTATTTAACCAACTGTGATCAGGATCTCTATGCAGTAACTTAATAACGAAATGGACTAGATTTGAAAGGTTTAGTAGATCACTTAAAAGGAATCTTATGTGGTAAGAAGTATTGTTATCATCAATTTCATATATTTGCCGATAATATATTCACCGTAGTTGTGTCAATCTCGAGAGCATTTAAAATTAAACAAAAAAAATATTATGAAATATTTCGTTATAATATCAAAATATTTAAAAATTCCTGACCATTGCCCTCTGAATGATAATTTATAATTATTCATCTTTTTTTGAAAAAATTCCGTTATTGATTAATTTTATTTTAAAATTTTTTAAAGCCTCTTCTTTTAGGCAAAATTATATTTTTAGTATTTTAACGATTATAATTTTCTTATATTTTTGAAACAAATATGTTTTTTTTAATTTAATAAAAAATTATTTGAAATAGAGTTCTTAATTAGAAGATTCCTAAAATCTTCTTCCCCCACTATTTGTAAAATTCATAGTTTCAAAATTTCAAAAAGATTTTTCAAAAAATTTGTGATAAGTGAAGAATAGGGATCAGAGGGGAAACTGGATTATCCGGGTATAGAAAACTGCTAATAAATTATAAAGAAGAATATCTTAAAAAATTATTAATGCATGATTACAAAAAGATTTAATTATAAAAGATTTTATTATTTTTAGGAACTCTCAAAATTTGTAAAATATTAACATAAAATTTTAATGTTAAATAGAAATATTTAATTTATATCTTATATTATTCTTTTTATAGTATGTTATCCATAAGCGCATAAAATGATATAATTTTTTTTTACTTTCTTTATATCTTTAGTAATTTAAAAAAAAAAAAAATGTAGTAAAAAAATAAATAAATATTACCGTTACTTTGATCGTGAGATTTGGCGGCCAAGGCTGGCTTGATATATTGATTGTAGAACCATTTGACTTTGAAGTGAAAGTTCATGTAATCCGAGCTTTTGCATTTTAGATATTGTTCGTGCTCTGTCAAGCAAGTTATATTTTAAGAATGAGAGAAAACAATGCATTTTCTAAAATAACACTGATCCCTTATAAAAAAAAATTGTTTTTTTTACTTGATATTTCTGATATCGTATTTTAATAGCAATGTGGATTTTATATTTAATAAAACTTATTTTTGTCATTTGACCTGAAGGTTAATCAGCCATATCTTGTTAATTAATTAGTCAAACTTGATAAATTATTGACTAATATATTTTGTAAAATTAAATTTATCGCAAAATATAAGTTTGCTATAATGAGAAAATAAACCTTCCAAGGCATATTTTAAATCCACGGAAAAGAGGGACCACATTGTGAGAGCACTGATCTGCCCGATGTTAAGTTCTTGAAGAAATCTTGAATAATTTTTAATTAAAAAAATTAATTTTATATAATCATAAAAACAATACTATAAATAATTGTATAAAATTCAACCATAAAAAATTGAAGCGAATCAAATTCCTTTAACAGCTTCGGAATGAGCAGATTATTTATATTTTTTTAAATATAGTTAATAGGCCAATATTATTAAATTGGCTATAAAAGGGAGAATCCACAAGTTGCCTCATTAGATATTCTGACGGCAAATCGTTATGCAACAAGTGGTCGGAAGTAGTTTAAATTCAAAAGGAATGTGGAGTAAAGACACTAAAATAAGCCAATAAAATGCTCGTACTATCTAATAAAGCTCTAACGTATTTTGAGGGAGAGGCAAAAATTACTCCTGGAAAAAAATGTGCAGTTTTGTAGATATAATTTAAAGCAAATTTTTTTTTAAATAAAAAAAAGCTCAAAAAATGGGTTGAAAAAAAGATAAAACAAACACTTAAAATGAGTAGAAATATTCAATGGTAATCGAAAAAGGGAGAAAAATTAAGTTAAAAACATATATTCAAAAAATGAGGAAAATATATAAAAGTCTAAAAAGGAGCAAATATCAACAAACTATATAGCCTCTAGTTAGTTAATAAACTAGCTATGTATGTATACTAGCTATAAAAAGTAAAACTGGTTAAGCACTGGCGTGTAGCTATTCTTGTCCTCTTCGATGACTGAAACTAAGAGAGATATAAGCTTAGACCAAAAATCCAAATTTTTAAGGCTCGGACCAGTACTTATTGGTTGTTGCGTAGCTGCGCTGGATGGATTAATGTGGTTCATTAGGGTACTCGGCAACTTTGGAGAGGATTCGACACCGTTCACCCCATTTCTAGGATGATTTTTCAGGCTTTGATTGTGATTATATGGACTGGGAGAAGGTACAGAGTTGTTAGAGGTGACGTTGGCTTAATATCGATGAGGTGATAATAAAATATAAAGATGGTTATGCTACAGATTATTATTGATATTCTACTAAGCTAAAAAAAATAGTACTCAAGATTTGGCGACACAAAATATACAAGCAAATTGAGAATAAATGAAGGCAGCGACATTTTTAAATATATATGGTGTTAATAATTTGTATAATATAGAAAAAGTTGTATTATAGTTTTGCTGTAATTTGAAATCTTGAGCGAATTCGTACCCTAATATCAACATAATACAATTAAAGCATAAACTTCTTAAAAGTATTCGATTACAAAATGAAAAAAAAATTCACATTTATTACGATCAATATCCATACTATCCGATTTGGAATTTTCCTGGCTATCGCTAGTAGGCACTATATTAGCATTTTGGGTGGCCGCATTAGGATCTTTTATAATGTTCGCAGGATCTTTATTGGGGTTGGCGGTTTCGAATTCTCTTTGATACAGCTCGTTGCAATTGTCGAAAAGAAATTGATAAGTTGACTTTAGGCAAGCAATAACACAATCTCTCACGACGGTGCTAGCTCGGGGCGGACTGGTTAATTCTTGAACCTTGAAAATTATAAAAAAAAATTAATCGAAAATTTAAAAAAAATATCCAAAATATAAAATATAATTTGTTAATATAAAATTATTTAAAAAAATAAATAAAATAATTACAACCTTCATCCTGAAAAACGTAATACTGGTTAATAAGTCGACTGTTGATTTGAGATCTTGCAATTTTTCCGGATTAGATGCAGGAAAATTATTCTAACATACATAAAGAAAGACATTATTAAATGGATATATTATATTCAAAGTTTTGCGATATTATTTAATTAGTTAAAAGCTTATTCTATTTCCAGTACATGTTTACTTTAAATATCGAACAACCAATCATTCTCTTTTAACTTCTAGATTCTTCGATTATAAGATAACTTTAGGTTAAGCCCGCTAGATAACAATAATATAACGGCTCAAATTTATAAAATTCTATATCTAAATGCTTCATTATTTTACCCGGTACATAGATAGATCTATCCGAAGAGAATTGTGGAGTTGGTCTAAAAGTTTAACGAATTTTTCTTTCCCAAAATTCGAAGCAGAAAATCGATCAGAAGCGGAAACGGCGTAAGATGTGGAACTAGTGTTGTGAGCGTAATAAGCGTTTATATTGGCGAGTAGCGTGCTCATGACGGCAGGCACGCCCGAACACATGTATTTGGAAGACAAACAGGAAAAATGACTAGGAGCAATTATATTATATAAATTATATTAGACATTTAAAATTCAAAAATTAACATTTGTCCCCTCGGATAAGTGTCAGGAGATAAGTAAACTAGCATAACATTAATTTTGAGTTATATATATTGCAGTTTAAGAGAAATGGAACGTTAATGATCATTTATATTTTATCTTTCACAACAATTTCATGAGCGATTAGTCAAGATCAGTGTTGTTAAACGGCTCAATTTGAACCGATTTATAAAAAGGACCAACTCAATATATTAGCCAAAAAAATGTTACCATATATCTCGAATATACCATCTACGACCATAATCTTAAGGCTTTCGTAAAAGTTTCTAGATAAAATGTTGAGTTAGCCGTTTTTAAAAATCGGCTCAAATTGAACCGTTTAACAACACTAGTCAAGATTATTGAGGCTTATTTTGAAAGGAAATATCTTTTTTAAAAAAAACTTTAAAAATGGATTAGCATAACAGATGTTGGGAAATAATCCAAGGTAAAAAAAGAGAAATGGAAATAAAAATAATTATATACGTCATAGCCTGGTAAATGAGTTCTATGCCGTAACGCATACTGAATTCATCCACAATTTCTTGACCAGTGTCGTCGAAGTATACTTTCCAAGCCTCATCGCTTTTCTCCTGTTCGGGCGGTAAACGCACTTGGCCCCCAGCTTCCTCGCAAAGATAATGGAAAAGGTTCTGTATAAACGTGTTTATGGTTAAAAAAAATCATTTTTTAAAGTAACTCGGAATGATTTATGTAAGTTACTCATCTAGTTATGTTTATTTGACTTTGGCTGTGCAATCTAAGTAATATATCAATCAATAAGTTCTAGAATATTTGGAGAATTCTAAAATATAAATCACCAATATACTTCTTAAAGGCAACGCGGTAATGACGTTATTATAAAAAGTAGTCACTCGTTGCCTATTAGGGGAAAAAATGAGTAACTGTCGTGTTGCATTTTAATCATTACTTAAAATGATGATTTATTATTTTTGTATATGTGGCAGCACTGCTTAAAAATGTGCAATACTAGATGATAAAAACATGATTCATAATTATAAATTCATGAATGTCAACTTCTTAAATAGATTACACATAAATAATATTAAAGATAAAAAATAAAGTATCATCAAACCTCATGTAGGCAAGTGTATTGAACGTGGTAAGGAGCCACCTTTTCTTCCCCTTTAATCTCGACGCTTATGTGAAGACGTATAGCACCAGAGACGGCCGATTTATCGGTACGTTTTTCTGAGCGGGTATTATAATTTGATAAAACATGAAAATAAAATGCATTTGTGAACTGCTTTTTTTAAAGGTATTCTTTTAAATTTGAATTTTATCGTAAAAGTTAACAAGAAATGTGTAGAAGATGTATATGTGTTTTTACTGTTAATTAATAGAATTTTCTTTTGTTTTAACTTAAAATTGGAATGGAGATAATTTAAAAAAAACCATATAAAAATATTCTTTATATCCCATAATTAAATAATTAATGCAAATCTCATATTTTTAGCTTGACGACTTTATAAATGATGACATTTAGATATTAAAGTCGTTTAAAGTTTTATATAAAAGAATCAGTACCTTTAAAAAAACAACTCCCTCTACTATACTTTTAGAAATAATGGTGGTTCACAAATTTTTAATGCATGTCATATTACCTAAATTATACCAAACGTCCATTTCCCCGCTTAGCGTGCGTACTTCTATGATAGTCTGTCCTAAGAAATCATCGGATTCTCGGGTTAACTTTTGCATTAGCTTAGATCTTAAATCGTTGTCTTCGTCCCTAATTTTTTTTTTTAAATTTCAAAATAATTAAGAATAAAGCGTGTAGCGTGAATTGATCCAAAAGAATTCCCATTTCAATTGCTATTGAGTACCTTGTTTTTAAGACCAATGAAAATAGGAATTCGTTATCAGGCTTTTAAATTATATTTGGATCCGTTGTAAAGCTCTATTTATTAGCAAATAACTTATGTAATTGAATCATAGCTCAACAAGATTTTTTAAAAAAATCAATAAACCAATGTTATCAAATCACCGGTTGCCTAATGGGTCCTTAAGATATATGCAAATTTTCTGCAAATATGTTAGCCCATCAGATAGGAATTAGCTTTTATAAAAATTCTTATCCAAGCCGTATGGCATTTATATTTATATCAAAAAAAAATTAGAGGCACAACTGGGGTTATTTTTCGCTCGGTCAGGAACTAAAAATTATTTTAAAAAGATAAACAAATTTTTCGGTAATGTTTTCCAAAAATAAAATAATAATATAAAAAAATATCTTACCATACACGAATTTTGATACGATCGGAAGAATTATGGCATTCGCTGTAATTTTAATTATTTTTATATAATATATTCAAGCAGTTTGAAATGCATAAACTTCTCTTATCAAAAAAAATCATAACGGGCCGGTTCCGGCAGATAAGCTAAATTAAAACAATATAAAAAAAGAAATTTCTTGTATTGATTTAATTTATAAACCAGAAATTTGTTTAATTTACAAATAAAATTTTTCATTCCACACGGGGTTCAGGTCTTGCAGCACCGTTTTAGTTCGTTTTTTGACCTTTCCAACTTGCACGGTAACATAGGGGTCACTGGTTCCGCTCTTGTCTTTGCCTATCAGTCCTTGGGCGCATATAACTATTTAAAAAAAAATATATTAAGTTTTTTTGGAATTTTTTATTTTTAAGATAAAATTGTCATGAAGGAAACTTAGGTTGAGTTTATTACTAAGTGCAGAGTCGTAAAAAATATCTCAGAAAAACTTGCCATCATGATCAAATTTAAAGATGACCGGGCTATAGATAAAAAGCAAAAATAATTTTTTTAATTTGACTTTTTTTAAGCTTATTTGTATAAACGCAATATAATTTTTTTTATGACATTGAAATATTAAAAAACAAAATTAATTTAAGGAAGAGAAGAAAAAATTCCAATTGAAACCCGTTATAGCTATTTTAGCCGACCATTTAGAAGTTCCGTCTAGAACACTCTGCTTCACCTGTTTCATATTAGCCGAATGGGATTTCTTGTCCACGTTAAACACCCGTCTATAAAATTAGGGGAGAGGATAAAATAAAAAGTATGAATGTATGAGTATTTCTTTCATTGTGCTATTTGGTAATCTTGATTAGTGTGTCAAAACATCTAACATCTTAATAAGATCAACTTATCTATAAACTTTATCTTATCTGGCATTTAATACCTTGATGTTTCTTATCAAAAATAATAACAAATTCCTGAAAAACAACAAGAAGAAAACTAATTCCAACCTTATCAAATCGAATATCTCGGGCTTATTTCGTTCCCTGATTTTCATCCTATCCTTCAAAGCCATCATAAATATTTGGGTTCTCTCTTCGGCTCCGTGTTTAGAACTCTTTTCGGCAGCTCCTTAAAATTTTTAAAAAGTTATAAGGGGGACAAAAATGAATAATATGGAAATTATTAAGATTGGATTTTACATGATTCATACCCGAAATTTTTATTAAATAATTTGTCCGCCCGACAAGGCCCGTATTTATTTAAATATAGTAAATATTAATATTTTTTTTATGTAAAAAAAATTATACGATTAAAAAATATTAGCGCCTTGTTTCTATTCAAGTCCGACCCGACCCGGCCAGAAATTTATTAAAAAATATTAGGCCCGAACCGAAATTATTTCATAATATTAAAAGATTTATTTAAAATAATCCGTAATCGATTTCTCAACTTGAGCAAATAGTACTAATAGCCTTTTTTTAAACAATTTTTTCTTGCTAAATTGTATGAACAAGTTTCTACTTTTTTTAAAATTAATGTGCATACTTGAACGCAAAAAAAGAAGATATATTCTAAAAATAAACTTTGTAGGCAGTCGGCGTTGAGAAGATCCTTACATTTTTCGTGGCATTTAACCCCGCATTCGGAGCATCTTACCCCTTGCCTGGCTATACCCCACAAAAGACCCTCGCATTCGTAGCAATAAGTAGGGCTCGTAGCCGACCAAATCTGAAAATTGTGAGGGGTAGTACTGGATATGGGGTAGATCAAGGATTGTAAGGTCTTTTTGTAAACGTGCATTTTCTATGATTGAAATGTGTTTTGTAAATTAAAAAATTTAATCTCCTTTTGATATATTATAGTGGTGCGATATAATTAGTAGACATAATGTTGAATCTATTTCTATTGAAATAAGTTAGTTTTTAGAAATCTAGGGATGGGGAAAATAGCAAAAAAAAGATTAATTAAAAATGGTAATATAGTTATAATTATAAATAAAAATATTTGGTCTATTATAATTTTTAAACTAGTTCTTCATCATTTAAGGTAGCTCTAACAAGCGCGGAGGCCAGCCCAGCATTTCTTTTCGTTGCCGCCATCGTCTTTATAAATATAAATATATTTAAGGTTTGATTTTTCTTTACTCCTCGATCTCTTAAAATTACTAAAAATATATAAATATAATCATTTTAACTTTATTTTAGTTTACATAGTCTTTGTTATTAATAAAGTTAACGATAAAGATTCTTATCTTCTAAATTTTAATCGACTAAAATTTTAGCTTAAAACAATACTTCCTTATGAGCATTTTTTTTATTATGATTGTATAAATCATAATTTGTTATTACTTTGAGAACCTATTGATTTGTTGCGCGTGACAGGGAGAAGATACGAATCAATGTTCATGTTAGTTAGTTGTTTTTTTATATATAATAATTTCACTATTTAAATATCACTTCAAGAATTTTGAAATCGTATTTTATGAAATGATACTTGTATAATTTTATTAAAATCGTTACTTAATTAGAGAATATATCATTTAAAACTAACTTTAAAAAAGAAAAATAAACACTATAATATAGTAACTAAGAGTTATATAGTATACCAAATCACTGACGAGTGGTATAGACTTTTTCCTTGGCCTGATGTCTGGCATAGAATCGATACTGCTGTAAAAAGGGTTATTTTCGGGCAAGCTACGATATTTTTAATAAAATAATTATTAATTTAAACTTAAAAAGAATTTAAAATTGATTTAAAAATAATATAAAATTCGTTTAAAAGTAACCTATTCCATTCCTTGGTGACCAGAATAATATATTATATATATAAATTATGATTCATAAAAATCCCCGTTATATTATAAAATTAAAAACTTTTTCATTTTTTTATTCATTTGTTCAGAAACCTTTGTTTACATTAGAAAATAAAAAGCTTAACCTTTCCTAACTCATATAAATAAAATGAACAACCCAATTAGTTTGTTTAAGGGCTCGATTTTTAAAAACGGCTAACCCAATTTATTAGCTAAAATATATTACGCAAACTTAGAGATTTCGCTATAGCTGACAGAAATATTTGGACATCTATTAACGAAATCTCTTGTCGTGTATAATATAATATTGGCTAAAATCTAAATTCAAAATCAACTAAATCGACCGTTTCCCGATACTAAACCTAATAGGTTAAAAAGATATCCGTTCTTTTATATAATTTTATTAAAAAATCCAAATAATCATTTAATGGCGGGTAACTTTATGCATTCGAATAAATCGTTGATCAATTAACGAATGGTTTATCTACAATTACGAATAAAATTATTTGATTTCACAATAAATATTTTTGCCATTAATAAGGTATATATATTGATGAGATGAAAAAAAGCTTTACTTTCCATTTGCTTGGGTGGGCCAAAATTGAGTGTCCAACGCATTCTCCCTAATTTCATCCTAAATTATTAGAATTGAAATTTATGCGATAAATTTTTATTGTATTTTAGAAAAAGGTATACTTATCTCTTTCCGAAATATATTCTAAAAGAAAAAAAATATTTTCAAAATGGTTGCCAAAAATCTATGAGGTAAAAAAAACATCTCTAAGAACGGTAAACGAATCCGAGTTCGTTATTTCGTAGGGCTTAATGCTCTACTAACCGATAATCGCTCAACTAAAGGAATGTTCAACAGAAAGAATTTTTTTAATTGTATAAAATATATCAGCAAAGGTTAGAAAGATGTGAATTAGGGCTATTTAAAAGTTTGAGAGATATGAGTTAGAGTTTAGATTTGTTTTTAATAAAATTTATCCTTTTTATTAAAGACAGGTCATGTGATTATAAATACACGAATAGGAATTTAAATAAATCAGCGGTTGTAAAGGATAGCTAGACCATAACCTGTTTACTGAATCAGAATTAGGCGGATTCGCGGTAAATTATACAAAATATGCTGTATTTTTGTATTCTCCGCCGAGAATTCACGCTAACTGTGAATGCGGGGTTATACGATTTTATTTTTTAAAAAAATAAAGAGATAATAAAATATTTGGTTGGTAATATCTTCTGAATAAAATAATGAGAACAACTATATTATAAATTTCAAAAATTATAATATGTATATTTAAAGGCTTAAAACATCGCAGGAAGATAAAAAAAATTATTGATTTGGGATAAGCTCTTTAATTCATTTACCAAAAAACCAATATTTTTAAAAAATATTATCCCCATTTTTTAAAAAGGAATTAGAAAGAAAGAAAAAGTGCACTTGTTTCGGAGGTCCCCTGGTTAAAATCGACAAACTTATAAAAACAAACAAGATCTCTGTGACCTGAAATCAAAAAAGTCGCGGTAAAAAGTTCGAGTTTATACTATAAACTGTATAATAATGATCGAAAATTTGCAGCCCCGACCGATAGAAATTCCGGGCTGATATTTTTATTGAACTAACTTATAAAATACCGCCAATATTAAATTACCAAATCTATTAAATAAGATATAAATCCTTTCGGCCGGACCTTTGCCGGTCTTAAAAATAGAGCAAGTTTATAAATCCGGGCTGGGATTAGAACTTCGACTCTCTGATAATAATGCTTTTTTTGAAAAAAAACGTAACCTTTCTTTCTTTTTAAAATTATTATGATTAAAAATAAGATAAATTCGATTATAAAAATTCCCTGTTAAAAAAAAATAACAATGCGGGAAAGGATGAAAAATACGATTATTAACAAAAAATAAAATCGTATTTCTGACCAAAATTTATAGAAATGAAAAGTATAAATAATTTTCTCATAATTAAAAAAAAAGAGAAAGAAGCTTATCAAGATGGTTAGGTGGGCTTTTTTTTTATCGTGAGAGTCGAAATCAAAATTATCAATATTATAAAATGAATAAATTTCCATTTCGTTAATTTCTTTTAATTCATTTCGTGCATTCAGCCCAAATAACCAGTTATTATTTGGTGGGCGTGAAAGAAATTCCGAGAAGGGGGAGGGGGTACCTTTTTTAAAATTAGTAGTAGATAAAACTCAGACCACGGATTACTAGTTTTTAAATATAATATCAATTTTTGATAGGTATAATATATTATTTATTGAAAATATATAAATTATAATTGATATATTTGAATGTAGACTTAAAATAGACATGAAATCGATATATTGTAAAAAAAATCAACAACTTCGCAAATTAGTTAGCTTATTTGTATCTAAATAACAAAATTTAATAATTATACGGAAACAATTATGAATATAAACGGAACAAATCCTTCCTCCCCCTCCCCCAATCCCGAGAGGATAGAAATTTGTCGGAGAGGGGCCCACTGCCTTAAACTTTCATTATTTATATTTTCTGCTTATTCTAACATAGTCCCCCCTTTTAAAAGAAAATGTTCATCTTTACCTTCATTTTCTCTCCTTCGCTTCCTCTATGATGATTTTTTTGAGCGGTTTCTAATGTAGCCCGCTATTACTACTTATCATTTCTCTCTCCACAAATCGAATTTCATAATTATCATTTACTTTTAAAAAAAGTGATATATCGTTATTTTCCAAAAAAAGGAAAACCAATATCGCTACTTTTCCCCAAAAAAGTAACGCAACTAATTACTTTACAGCAATGATAAAAATAATAAAAATGTACAAAAATTTTTTGTTTTGAAAGTACTATTTTTGGGGTATGCAAAAAAAATCAATAAAAAAATTACTTATATTAATTGAAAGGAAAAATATTTAGATAATTATGGCAAATATTAATATTTAATATATTTATAAATAATGTTATCATTATCATGAATAAAATATTTTTAATTAAAACCTATTTTTTTTTACATATTATAGTAGATGATCTGTTATTAGCGTTCTTGCGTAACACGTTTTTTATAAATATTTAATTTACGAATCTTATATTATTTAGTATAATAAATTATGCCTTTTTCGTCGTTTACAATTCGTATACTATGGATATATCTCATTTAATCGATTGAATTTTAATAAGTGATTCGGCTTAAATCAAATTATATTCTCAGAGGAGGAGGGTCTATCCCACTTAAATATTACACTGGTAATTAACAACTATAGATACATATCTGCAGCCTGCCCCAAGCCTTTTAGTAGCCCTTGCAGAGAAGCAAGTGAACTTATCTTGGCAGCTGAGCATGCAGGGTCGGCGTTACGCTATTTCTAATAATTTTGGATCTATTTCATCTTTTAAATTATAAAAAAAATATTAATTTTTTTAATTTCTTGTATATTTCATATATAGTATTTGTGGCGTCACGGTTTATAAAATTTGATTGTTTTAAAAGTTTTCCTTAATAATATGAGTCAATAAATTTTTATATCAAGATATTCCAAATAACCAGTGGTGTAGGCATGGGTGGGTGGGGGGGGGGGTTTGAAATTTTTTTTTTTTAAATTTAATAAATTCTTAATAAACGCTTGATTTTTATGTTTTAAATAAATAATAATAGATATACACATTTTGCAACTTTTTCACACCACTCAAAAAAGGGAGTTATTTATTCAAACGTATCATGATATTGACTCAAAAAATCAAAAAAAAACTAAAAAGATTTTGTCCGACCAGATTCATTGAAAGACAAGAGTCGGTGAAACCGAAAATCTTTTGCAGGCTATTATTAAGCCACAGTTTTTAATTTCAATTCAATGTGTTTATTTTTTATTTAATTATACATATAATTTTAGCAAAATGCTATAAAAAATCGATTTGGATTTAAGGGAGATTATGAATAGAGCAAAGGATATTGTTGAAATGTTAACAAATATCAGAGAGAATGTGGATGAAATATTTCATGAAATATATGAAAAAGTAAAGGAGAATGCTAATATGTTTGGAATTGAAATGTTTAAACCTAGAGTATTCTTTAGACAATCCAATCGATCAAATATTGATACATCTAAGATTGAGGATTTTTATAAAATAAACATTTTTATTCCCCTTATTGATACATTTTTATTTCAATAAAAAGAATGATTTATTAGTCATAATTATATTTTAAAAAGCTTTTATTTTCTTTTGCCGGTTGAGTCTAAAATGTTGATTACACTTGAAACACGAGAGGATATTAAAAAATCTCAGAGTTTTATGCTGATGATTTAGTAGGTTCATATGATAAGTTACTTTGTGATGTCGAATTTTGGTATAAAAATCTTGACAGAATAGGGTATTCTTTGAGACCAAAAAATGCTTTGCAGGCCCTTTCCATGTGTAATTGCATTTTAGATTCCCTGCCTAATATCAAAACATTATTAATTATTTAGCTACCTTGCCAATTAGTACCTGCACTAATGAAAGATCTTTTTCAACTTTAAAAACGTTAAAAACCTATTTAAGAAACACAACCGGTGAAAAACGTTTAAATGGATTAGCCCTATTGAATATTTATAAGGAGATTATTTTAGATAAAAATTTGATTTTAGATGAATTAGCAAAATCTCAGAGAAAAGCAGATCTCTCTTTTTAAATCCAAATCAAAAAATAGCAATAAAATTATATTAGTTTTAATATATATATAATCAATTTTTTTTCATAAAAAAGTATTATTTATAAGATAATATCATCATATTTTTTTAAATACCATTATTTGCATAAGAATTACACATATTTTATATAATTGTAAAAAATTACTTTTTTAAATTGAGTCTTTATACATTATAATTTTTAATATTAAAATCTGTGTTATATAAAATATCACCATTTTGAAAATATTTTAATTAATAAAAATATATACATGATTAAATAAAGGAATGTAAAATATATAATTAAATACTCTAAAATTTTGTTATATGAAAATATAAAATAATTTTAACAAATCCAAAAATATAAGCAATTAAGTGTTCAAAAAAATGAGGTTTGGGGGGGGAAGCCCCCAAAATTTTTTTAAACCCCCCCCCCCTTACCCATGATAAAATCCTGGCTATGCCACTGCAAATAACGAAATAAATAATTTAAGCTTACAATGGGTCTATTGCTAAGTAAAATATATGTCAATGATATGATTATAAAAAATATACCTTAAATTTTTATAAAATCACAAGTTTCTATCAATGAAGTCGATAGGCGTGACAAAAAAATTCAATTTTTTTTAGATATAAGCGTGTTAATTATTCAAGTCAAATATAAAATATTTTAGGTGTGAATACTCAATATTTTGCTAGGGGAGAAAGTATTGTGAAGTAAAATCTGGAACGATGCCAATAGTTTGTTTCTTCTAATTAAAAGGAAAGGTAAAATAAATGAATATAAGCCCACTAAATTAGATTCATTTTGTTTTTTTCTAACCTGTAGTTCCATAGTAAATCTTGGCCTTCAATTTTTTAGCTTTTTTCATCGGACACAATTCACTGAAATCGAACAAAAATATGGGAAAAAATGAGATACTGTTTCCATAAAATTTTTGATTTTGAGAATTCAACTGTTATATACCATGGGTAA